AGCTTATGTTAGGAAAAGCATGCTGGGATTTAAGCTGCCTAACAGTTTGTCACAGTAGCTGAGACACTGTGGAGGCAGAGATACACCACACTTTCCCTGCCTGAAAAACCCAGAGACAAGTTCTGGTAGTTAATGGACTACACAGGCTAGCTCTCTGTTAGCGCAAGAACATGCAATCCAAACCGTTTGTAGGCTGTTCTACCTTCAATTACACACCTAAGTGGTTTATACTAGCTCTGTTTTGTAGAAAGTAAGCTAGCCTGCTCACAGTTGAAGAACATGGATGTCAAGAGTGAGTAGAACACATTTATATTCTTGCATTTAATGTTTACAAAACCAGTTTTGTGTTCATGCTTCACTGCTTGTGTCTTGGAGCTGATGTAACTAGTCTTAAGGGTCCCCTATGTTAGCATCGTGCTAGCCAAATGGTTACTGTGTCTGCTTGGTTTTTAAAAACGATCCTTCCAAGTTCATATTCACATTCATTAAGTTTACTCTGTGTTATTAGCATAGCTAGCGCCTATCGGCCATTCAAAAATAATAGACAAGAACTTGTTCATTTGATTTTTGTTGATATTAACTTTTGTTTTAGTCAGGCTAGTTAGCTAGCCTGACTAAAAAAAAAGGACAGGAAGGAGAGGAAAGAGGGAGGTAGAAATGTGATCAAATTACTATTATTGAAACCATAGAGGTCTCTTGGCTAACACAGATGGACACTTTTTCTGTCAAATAAATGTTAAACTTTAGCAAAGAGGACTTTTCTTTGTCAGGCTAAGCAAAAGAAAATAGCTCTTAGCATTAATTTAACAACATGCTAACCAAATTGTTTCTGTAGGCTATATTTTAATTTGTTAAAGTTATTACAAACCAGCCGAGTTCAATCTCTGCTAGCTAGCTGACCTTCCAAGATAACAAATGTCATGAATGCATAGAAAATAAAAAATATCATTTTGAATTCAGCCTAATTATAAAATCTCCTTCTCAAAATACATTTGCACAACTTTAAAGAACGGAGAAACAGGCAATGAAGAGAGGGAGAGAAAAGAGGGAAGATGAAGAGAAGACAGAAAATAATGATAGGGGAGGTTGAGAGAAAAGTAGAAATAGGGTAGGCAGATGGAAATAAATGGGCCGTACAAAAGCAATTCTGTCAACAGCCGAGAGTGGGATGAAATGGAGGCAGAGGAAAAATAGAGAAGGAGGAATTTAATGTTTAGTTTGGGTCCACCAATAAACTAAATAGACTTAGTTTGGGTCTACCAATAAACCAAACTGACTTGTTTTGCTGCAGGTCTTGAGGTGGGATAAGTAATGTATCCGGCTAGGGGAAACAAGATCAGGTAAATCCTTCCCAAACCTCTGTTTGCACGGCATATCAACTGCTTTAGAAGGATTCTGAGGCTTATATCAATAAAAACTGAAGGCACCTCCTCTGGGGATTTTCTAGGATTGCAGATGAAAAACAAGCAGACTGCAGTCCACCCTTTTTCTCCTTCCTTCTCATCACAAGAACTCATTTATCAAGCATTTTCCAAAACTGGTTTCTTTGTCAACCAATTAATTATCGTATAGTGCTTAATGAAATTCAATATACAATCGCACAATGCAGTCTCTTAAATCATACATTGAAGTCCTTAAATGGCCACCATAGTGTACTGTAGCCTCTTTTAGACGTTATCTAAATCTATGAATAAGTCCTGCTTGGGTAAACAGTGTCTTACTGTGGAGACTTTGGGAAGACAATGGCACATCCTCGCCCCATTTTTCCCTTTGTGTGAGCTCCCCTCTTTTTTCCTCTGTCCTTGTCTTTGTCACTAATGTATGATTGGCATGCAAACGTTATCCCTCTCTTCCACAATCAGACAGTAAATTGTGGGTTATGATGTGACTGGGTGAAATCCCTTTGACTGAACAAGCATGTGTATTGGGTCATTAAAGCCGGGGGTGCGACAGTGATGAATGTCCCCAGTGCAACGTAGAGGCGAAGTGTGCTAAGACACAAAGGGAAGGACTGTTCCTATTATTTGGGCTGTCACCTACGTCAGCCTCACACAGCAATAATATTGATGGTGTCTTCCTGAACACGAGTGTCATTACGTGTTTTCTTTTATCTACCATTCCGTCTATATTTTTATTTCTTGTATGCATTTAATTTCTTTCTCAAGTAACTCTCTGTTTTGCATTGATTGTTGTGACCTTGAATATTTGAACGTTTTTTGCGGGGTCTTACTAAAATTGGATCTTAATACGCTTATGAAAGCTATCTATGTGCTAATCTTTTTACATTTTCCAAATATTCTTTCATACCTGCAGTAAGCCTTATCCTTAAAGGTGGGGTAGGTAAGTTTGAGAAACCGGCTCGAGATACACTTTTTGTTATATTCCATGGAATGCTCTTAACATCCCGATAGCAAAGAATATCTTAAGTGCTTTGACTAAAAATCCATAAAAAAATGTCATCTGTGGAAGCCGTAGTACTGTAAAAAGTACGACCAATCATTTTAGCCGGCCTGGCTAAAATAACTGGATGGCCTACCTGCCTGTCAGCCTTCCATCTGTGCACAAACTTATCTCGTGCCCTCATTGGTCATGTGCGCGTTCGTGTGTGTTGGAGGAGGGGCTCTATAAGGAAGTGGCAGATTTTTTCCGGTTGTGTATTTTCAAATTCTAGCGATCTCGAGCTGGTTTCTCCAAAATTACCTACCCCACCTTTAATGCAGTTTCTTTATGAAAACATTTTAAATTTACATATTTTCAGTAAAGTATGAAAATCATTTTGAAAAGATGAGATACCATTGTTTTGGAATTTGTGTGTTTGAATATTTGTGCTGGGCATTCGCAACTTTCTGTCGTTATATAGTCTCTTATATGCAAGAACATACAGACAATCAACATTAATACATATTTAAAAAAAGTAAAAATCCTTATCAATGAGTCAATACTTAATTTGTAGACAAATAGTAGTAGACAAGGGTTTTACAGTCTCTAAAAAAAGTGTTTTTGAAGCTAGACTTTGTATAAGAGAGCCCCCCAAGGTCTACCACCCTTTTTAGAGAGTAGAAATAAAAAAGTTGAAAATGGCGAGATTCAACAAAGGGAAAAAAGAAAACACCGGGGGAGCAAGGTCATGGTCAGCGCTGACTGAAAAGATAATAGAGATTCAGAGACAGAGAAGCAATGAGGAGAGGAGAGATTGAGCAAAAAGGGAGGATTTGATGAAGAATAAGAGAAGTTTGTACAGCGAAAGATAAATATTAAGGAAAAGTAGAAAAAAATTGATCTGTAGAGACTTTGTCACGACCACACTGTCCACAAAAGACAAGCTTTGAGTTGAAGGAGAGGCACATTGTGACACTGGAGTTCAGTAAATCAACATTTCCATTTTCTTTGTGCAGCAACCATTTAAAGTTGGCAACACGTTGAGTCTAGACTCATTCAATCAATGACAGCACAAGAAAGAGAATTTAGTGGAATAGTGACTTGTTGTACTTCAACTCTGGAGATCGAATGTTGCATCCTGTTTTTTTTCATCTTCAATGATGTACTTGAGGTGATCTTTCTGTTACCTTAATGAGGTATTTTGAATGTCGTTTACTCAACAGGCAGATCAGAAACATTTCAATTAGCCATTTAAAGCACCCGTGGTTACCTATTTCCTCATAGAATAGAAACATTTTCCATAGACATCTATGTGCATGTATGCATATATGGGAAGCAAAGATGCAACTACATGATACTGCATGAATGGGACTAAGAAGTTAAAGATAAAGAGGGAATCAATCATGTTTCAATCAAAAAAAGGAAAACAAATATATGTATGTACAATATCTACATTATAATATTTAGAGTAGTGTATTAATATCATTGTTAACCAGATTATTGCTCGGAATATACAGTGTAATGCAGTTATAATGACAAAAATAATGTACTGAGCATTGTCATCTGATTACAGTCACCAAGTGTTAGCTTAGCAGCAGGGTAAATAAGATGTTTGCAGTATCTTAAGAAAATTGAGATTCAAAATATTCATACAGAAAATATAACCGAAAGATGGTATAATCTATGTCCACACAATTCTGGATTTCTGCATTACTGTCTATAACTTTATAGAGCTTGGTTAACGTCAACTTTTAGTACCAATTTGCTTTCCCTCAGGAGTGTGTTTGTGTCTCCTGCTTGAAGTCCCTCTCAATGCTCAATGTTGTTTGTGTGTGTGTGAAATGTGTGAAATGTGTATGTATGTGCGTAGTCGGTCTTGCCGCACCATGTTATTTTCCATTTTAATTTGTTTTTGCCTGTGGATGTTCAGTGCTTCTTCCACGGCTTTCAGCAGCTACCAGTGAATGAATCAGTAATTATTTTTGTTGGTTTTTGATGTTTTTTCCTGCTGTCGGTTCACTGGCAATGAGGATATAATTGAATTTGTTAGTATGCAATGACAATTACCAAGCTGAATTCTCCTGAAGTGCTCATTGATTTAATGATGCTTTCAAAAAATTATATATATATTTCTTTTTTACAGCGATGGCATCAACCAATGCTTCTTATTACATTTAAAAACATAATAGTACTGTTATTGCATTCAGCAAGGAATGTGTCTGTTTAAAATCTAAATGAACACCAACACATTTTTTTTTGAAAGGATTTATTATGTTATTTACTTATTAAAACAGCAAGACAGCGTGTCTGACTTGTGTTTACATTTATTTAAAAAGAAACATTTTACAGAAGTAGTTCTTAGTAAATTGTTAAAACAATGGGTAATTAAGGCGTCTGTTATGTTGTCTGAAAGCTAGTTAGCAAATTAACAACATCTCTTTGTTGTGAGCAATATTTATTGGAACCACTTTCTAGAACAGAGACAAACTATTTCAATGTTATTTCAAATCATCTCTATCGTATTTGGTGGTAGTAAATCTGACTTGAGAGAATTTACCAGGAACTTTGAAGTTGAAAGAAGATGTTAATTTATTTTCCTTTGCTTTCTCCCTATCTTACAGGGGTCCGATGGGTCCGATGGGAAGCCCCAAGCTCGGCATGCAACAAGGAGGTCATGGAGGAGGAATGGGAGGAGGAGGTATTGGAGGGATGGGAGTTGGAATGGGCGGAGGAGGAGGAATAGGAGCCAGACCTGGCGAGCCCTACCGCCTGGCCACTCATGACACCCCCACCACCCCGCGGCATATGCAGTCGAGCCAGGGGCCCGGCATGGGGCACGGCCCGGTGTCTGGCCACGGCATGGGTCACGGCCCAGCCGGGACCGGCATGGGAGGCCATGGCGGTCAGCCAAGCCCCGGGCAGCACGCCTCCCGTCGTAACCTCCAGGTCGACTTCAGCGGCTCGGGCGGCTCCAGGACAGGTCGGTCCTCCTCCGCGTCGCCTGACCGCGGCGTGACGCCGACCTCGCCCTACTCCGTGCCACAGATCGCACCCATGCCGAGCAGCAAGCTGTGCCCGGTGTGCAAGTCCACCGGGCTGTCCAACCCACCGGCTTTACCCAACTACAACACCTGCACCCAGTGTAAGGCCTGCGTCTGCAACCAGTGTGGATTCAACCCCAACCCTCACCTCACTGAGGTAGGTCAAGTTTTAGAAACAGATGTTATTCCAACGGTTTAACAATTATCTTGTTTCTCACTTCTGTCCTTATATAACCCCGGAACATTTTAGCTTTCTTGTGGCAATGGGATCATCAAATAATGTTCATTTACAGTGAGGTAGCATTTGTGGAATATCATTTCATCCTGTTCTGACGTCACAGTTAAATGATAATGTTCCAAATGACAAAACAATAAGAGACAGGGAAGCTTATTTCCATTCGCATCCTTTTAAGTCTGGAAACAGATCCACAAGGGACAGACAGGATAAAGATTTTGTCTGGCCTTGTAGCTCAAGCGAGGGAGGAGAGAGAAAGAGATGCTTTTGCTCTGCATGTAGCCTCTTTTGTCTTTTGTGCCAATAATGCGCTTTTGACTTGAATGACATTGAATTGAAGCGAAACTGAGTGAACGAGCCAATGCATAGAAAGTGATGGAAGAAGTGAGAGGAATAGTTTGAGGCGAGGGAGATAAATTAGGTCAGTAAGAAAAAGGGAGAGACAGTGATAGCATAAAAGCGGGGTGAAATTCAGTGCAAACAAATACGTTTTTTTAATAAAAAATCTTCCTGTTTCTCTGTGAAAACGTCCAAAAATTATAGATTTAGCTTTGTCTACATTAATGTATGTAATTCAAAGAGTAAATATTTGAAGTAGAAAATGTATGAATGAGCAAAAGAATGGGAGCAAGCAAGTATCGAAGCTGAGTGTGTGTTGTGTAGGTTAACTTTGTTCTGAGGCTTTTTGTGTGTATTTGTTATAGACAGTGTGTGTAAGGGCTCAGCAAGTGGCAGTAATCCTTCCCCGAAGCGCTGACAGAATTTCCATTAATGTGCTGAGGCAAGACACACAGGTCGTGACAGAGTGTGTGTGTGTGTGTGTTTGAGTTCATTGTACTCTTCACAGGTGTGATGTGAAGACAGGAACCCAAACACTGGGATATATTTGGCATACTGAAAGAGATGCAGGAAAAAGTAAAGAATAAAGGACTAAATAATGCGACTAAAGTTATTCAAAGATGGATGGAGGGATCACAACGGGAAGCATGAGGCCACGTCTGATATATTAGCCACGTTGGCCCTCATTGATTCCCGATGTCAGGTCCAGGGGCATATCATTGGCTGACAGCATGATAAACACTCTGCTGGATTAAACAAACAACTGCGGTTGTGTTGATGGCTCTTATTTTCTATTTACCTTTTTGATGGAGAACATTGGCACCAGAATCACCCTGATGCTCCATGCTAACACATTAGCATCCACTGCAGATAATTAATCACTAAAAGAGTTAACAACAAGGTATAGGTTATTATAAGAGATTTTAGTTTTTCATTTTAATTAGCAGTATCTTGCAGATTTACCACAACACAGTGTCTCTATAAGACTGATTTGAGCTTTGAATTTAATACTCAATAAAAGAAATCAGCACTGTAAATAAATACGCTAGTTGAAGGTTACCTGTGTAGCAAATAAGCAGAGGCCATCCCATTGTGAGACATCTCACTCATGCTTTTCTGAGAACCAGGGTTACGCAAGTAACATAAAGTTCTACAGCAGTTTAATCTCAACAGAATGTGCGGATATTTTACCTTGACATAGAGCAGACGCACAGTGCAAATCAAATCAAATCAAATCAAGTTTATTTATAAAGCACATTTAAAAGCGATTTTTGGTCGAGCCAAAGTGCTGTACATGTAATAAAAACACATTACTACAATCAGAGACGCTTTTCTGCTTGCTCTTGCCTCTGCTTACTTTTTTATGCTGATTTTCCTATTTTTCTTTTCTGAAAACTTCGAGCAGCGGCTTCTGGACACTAACTTATCACTGGGACAGTTATTCTTCGTAAATAGATGGAGGATTTCAGCCATATTTCAATATCTTTACGACAAACTCAGTCTTACAGTAGCGTGGCCTAGCAACAGCTAAAGCCTGGTACTGCATGCTATTTAGCTTAAGCTAGTTAGCAGCAAAATGCCTCTGTTCTCTACAGATGACTTCCACAAACTTCTACAGAAGATGGCCGTGTTGGAAATGAAAATGCAATGGTTGGAAGTTAACGTGGAAGTGAATGGACTATGTTGGAATGACACCACTTTACCAGTGTTGCAAAATAATGGACAAAGGCATGCTAACTCACAGCTAGTTAGCAGCTACAAGGATTCCAAGGAACAGGAGGGCTGTGTGCCGGGTAAAAAAATCTACAAGTGGTAGTCCTCCCTGGAACTCTCTGGGTGCAAAGCCTAAGAGTAAATCATTTCCATGGGATTTGGGAGGACGAATAACAGGCAGAGCCCAGAGCTCTGAAATCTGTGATGCGACTGGCTGGCCTGCATTGCTGTCACCCAGGAAGAGCGCCTCTTCAACCCCTATTCATACTAGGAAACATGCCATGGACAGCTGCTAAAGGGAGAACTACAAACAATCCTCCTAAACCACAGAGTGTGCCAATCCAGAACAGATACGCTCCGCTGACCCAGAACCGGAGATCTCTTTCTGATGACCTGGATAACCTGTCCTCTTCACACAGCAGGGTAAGGACCAATAGCTACTCCAAAAGTAAAAGGCTAGAGGGAAAGCTAACGACTGGGCCTGAAACTCTGATTGTGGGCGACTCTGCTGTAAGAGATGTAAAAAGTCTGTGTAGTAAGAACAACACCAAAGTACTCTGTTTTCCCAAGGATATGGTCTCTGACTTGGCTGAGAAGATCCTGCATATTGGGGCTGAACATCCGACTGTGAAGAATGTGGTACTGCATATTGGAACAAATGATGTGAAACAACAGTCAGAAGTGCTGAAAGAAGACTTTAAATGTCTGTTGGAAACTGTCAGCTCTCTAAATTGAAGATTGAAGAAGAAGGAAATGGTTTCTCTGCATTTGACCCATCCTAGTGTTAGGAGCAGTGGGCTGCCATTATGTATGGCGCCCGGGGAGCAGTGTAGTGAACGGTGCCTTGCTCAGGGACACCTTGGTAGCACTTGGTCTTTCCGGGATTTGAACTGGTGACCTTCCAGTTGCCAAGCCAAGTCCCTATGGACTTCGCCACCACCGCCCTAAATGTGGAGGTGTTCATCAGTGGCCATCTACCGCCAGTCAGAAGAGTGGAGAGATTCAGCAGATTGTTTGCACTGAACACGTGGCTTACAACTGCCTGTACTGACCATTCTGTCCATTTTATTGACAATTGTAACTTTTTCTGGGACCGCAGACATCTTTTTAAGGCAGATGGAGTTTGCCTGAACAAGTCAGGAGTGAAATTGTTTATCTCTAACATATTCAACTGCCTGCGTCATCAATCTGTTCCCTCTGCCAAGGACAAGCGAGAAGAGGAATCAAAACAGGAGAAAGACACAACACATCGCGCAGAAAACCTTGAAGAAGTATCACTGCACCCGCCTGAGGAATGTCTTGATTATGGGAGACCTATGACACAAATGGAGGAGTCTCCGCCGCCCCTCACCCCCCCTACCAACACCTTTGAGGATACTCTTCCTTCATCCCCCAGCGCTCTCTTCTCTCTTCTCTCCGCTCACCCTTTCACACTCGCCCCCCCTCCTGGGGTTCGATGACCGCATGAAGGAAATACACAGGGTTGCCACCTATTCCTTCCTGGAGTTCACTGAAAATATGAAGGCGATACAAAGGGTTAGCAACATGTCCTTGACCCCCGTCCCTCAACGACGCCCACCAGAATCACCAAAGCAGAGATGCGCACCATCTCCCCCGTCTTCATCACCATGCCTACCACAATCATCCGTACCAAAACGTCCCCCCCCCCCCCTACAAGAAATCTGCGGTCTCGGAAGCCCGATAAGGATGTGTGTGTACAAAACGCAGCAAACTCTAACTGATATGTGCTGGGTCCAGGCTCAAGGGCGTATGGCACTCTCAACTCTTTCCAGCACATGCCGGGGCCCTGCCTGCCAGTAGCTTTGCCGATATCTGTGTTGATAGGTAATAGATTGAGAGCGGTGAATCAGCTTAGAAACAGGAAGTACTCAAAACGTTTGTGTGAGTTTATCAAATTTAGCAGTGATTCCATGTCAGCCACAGCTTGTCACAAAAAATCTGACTGATAGTATATTTAACAAACTTAAACTAGCATTATTAAATGTCAGATCTTTGCCAGGAAAAACATTTTTAATCAATGATTTTATCACTGAGCACAATCTCGATTTTATGTTTTTAACAGAAACTTGGATTGAACAAAATAACAGTGCAGCTGTTCTTATCGAATCAACCCCTCCCAACTTTAGTTTTATGAGTCAGGAAAGAATGCATAAGAAAGGAGGTGGAGTTGCTATTTTGTTCAATGATTCCCTTCAATGCAGGAAGACATCTTATGGGAACTTTGCTTCTTTTGAATATGTGGCCCTTCAGCTGAAATGCTCCTCTCGAGCTCTGTTCCTAAATATCTATAGACCACCCAAATACTGTGCAAGCTTTTTTGATGACTCTACTGAACTGCTGTCTATAGTGTGTATTGACTTGGGGAGAGAGTTCAGCATCCTGACCGCCTGGTGGAGGAAGCTGTTGCCCAGCCTGGAGGTGCGCGAGCTGAGGCTGAGGAACCTTCTTCCTGAAGGCAGGAGGCTGAAGAGGCTGTTGGAGGGGTGGATGGAGTCACCCACAATGCTGAGTGCTTTGCGGGTTCGGCGGGTGTTGTATAATGTCCTGTAGTGAGAGGAGTGAGGCACCGATGATCCTCTGGGCAGAGTTCACTATGCGCTGCAGGCTCTTGCGGTCGGCGGCGGTGCAGCTTCCGAACCACAGCGTGATACAGCTGCTGAGGATGCTCTCGGTGGCGCCTCGGTAGAAGGACAGCATGATGGGGGCGGGTGATGCTCCGGCTCGCTTGAGCTTCCGGATGAAGTACAGGCGCTGCTGGGCTTTCCTCGCTAGTGCGGTGGTGTTGTTTTTCCAGGTGAGGTCATCAGTGATGGTCACCCCAAGGAATTTGGTGCTGGTCACCTGCGTCA